TAAACCATCAAAGATCAAAAGAGACAAAGAAGGCCGTTACATAATGGTAAAGGGATCAATTCAACAGGAAGAGCTAACTATCCTAAATATATATGTGCCCAATACAGGAGGACCCAGATTCATAAAGTAAGTCCTTAGAGACTTACAAAGAGACTAAGACTCCCATACAGTAATAATGGGAGACTTCAACACCCCACTGTCAACATTAGACAGATCAACAAGACAAAGTTAACAAGGATATCCAGGAATTGAACTCAACTCTGCACCAAGCGGACCTAATAGACATCTACAGAACTCTCCACCCCAAGTCAACAGGAATATTACATTCCCCTCAGCCAACACATCGCACTTTATTCCAAAATTGACCAATAGTTGGAATGAAATGCACTCCTCCAGCAAATGTAAAAAGAGACAGAAATTATAACAAACTGTCTCTTCAGACCCAACAGTGCACATCAAACTAGAACTCAGGGACTAGAAAATCAATCAAATGCGCTCAACTACATGGAAACTGAACAACACCTGGCTCCTGAATGAATACTGGGTACATAATGAAATGAAGGGCAGAAATAACAGATGTTCTATTGAAACCAATGAGAACAAAGTACACATACCAGAATCTCGGGGACACATTTAAAGCAGTGGTTAGAGGGGAAATTAGTAAGCCACTAAATCCCACAGAGAAGAAAGCTGGAAAGATCTAATGATACCCTAACATCACAATTAAAAGAACTAGAGAAGCAAGACAAACGGCATTCAAAAGCTAGCAGAAGGCAAGAAATAACTAAGATCAGAGCAGAACTGAAGGAGACAGTGACACAAAAAACCCTCCAAAAAATCAATGAATCCAGGAGTTAGTTTTTTGAAAAGATCAACAAATTGATAGACCGCTGCAAGACTTATAAGAAGAAAGAGAGAGAAGAATCAAATAGACGTAATAAAAAATGATAAAGGGGAAATCACCACCGACGTACAAACTACCATCAGAGAATACTATAAACACCTCTACGCAAATAAACTAGAAAACCTAGAAGAAATGGATAATTTCCTGGACGCTTACACTCTCCCAAGACTAAACCAGGAAGAAGTTGAATCCCTGAATAGACCAATAGCAGGCTCTGAAATCCTCTGGAGGTTCTAAAGGAGACTCTATTTTCTTATATTTTCCATCATCTGGAGTTTGCATTCGTGGCCTTTCTTGCTTGGCTCATGGCCTTTCCCTTCATTTTCTAAGTCTGTAGTGTAGAATCTTGCTTCAGTTTTTCACATTGCTTTCTTCTTCCGTAGTAAAATCTCTCTGTTTCCTTTTTATAAGAATACTTGTTATTACATTTAGGGTCTTCCTGGATAATCCTGGTAATCTTCCTATCTCAAGATCCTTAATGACATTTGCAAAGTCCCCTTTTGCCATATAAGGTAAAATTCACAGGTTCCAGGCACTAAGACCTGGATATCTTTGAAGGCAATTATTAAACCTACCACAGATCTCCACTTTTTACTTCCATTTTTGCATGGTTTTGTCTGGTAGTGTGTGAGACATCCTTGTCTTGTTCTGGTTCTCAAGGGGAATGCTTCCAGCTTCTGCCCATTTAGTATAATGTTGGCTGTGGATTTGTCATAGACGGCTATTGTTATTTTGAGGTACATTCCTTCAATATGCAGTTTATGGAGAGTTTTTAACATGAAGCGATGTTGAATTTTATCCATAGCCTTTTCTGCATCTATTGAGATGATCATGTTGCTTTTGTCTTTAGTTCTGTTTACGTGGTGAATCACATTGATTAATTTGTGTATATTGAGCCAAACTCGCATCCTGGAGATGGATCCTACTTGATCATGGTGGATACATTTTTTGACATGCTACTGTACTCGGTTTGCCACTATTTTGTTGAGGATTTTTGCATCCATGTTAATTAAGGATATTGGCCTGAAGTTTCCTTTTTGTGTGTGTGTGTCTGCCAGGTGTTGGTATCACTTAGTGATTTTATAGTGTTAATAAATGTCTATATTTATTTTACTGATGGGAATGATACTTTTATTCTGCAATAAGAAACAAAAGGTCTCTAGTGAATGGTATGTTCAGTAATGGTTACTTTTCTAAGAAAATGGATGACAAACATTTAACTTAAAATATGTTTAATCAACATATATTATGCATCAAGAGAACTGTCATTATATCTTCTTCCAAAGGTAGTAACTACTTGAGGAACAATGTGTCAATTTATTACACGCAAATGCAAAAGTTGTGTTGACTTCTCATTTTGTGAACAGATCTTTTAATTTAGATAAAATGACATTTCTTTGAATTTAATGATACTAATTTTGAATTCCACATTTTTGTGTATATGTTTTAAAAGAGGAGAAATAGTTGTTAATACTTTGGCTCCATTACCAAAATAACTTAGCAAATAGTTACCAAAGATAGCTTAAAATCACTATAATTAGATGATTAAAACAGAAAAGCAGTTCTTTCCAACTGATTTGATATTATTTTCATCAAATTCTCGAATAATTATAATAATTTTATGAAAGTTTATACTGAGGAAATGGAAACACCTAGCCTCTATAATTCAGGAAAAAATTCAACATTGAGGACAGTATTGTTGGTTATGTGGTGATAATGACAAACACACATATTGATAGAGCAAAATATTGTAGGAAGATCGAGGTTTTACTAAATGAAGAAAGATGTGTAGCAGAAATATAATCAGAATTGTTTGTGTAACATACGTAATTCATAATCATATAATCATGATAAGGTATTTTGCAAACCAAAATAAAAATAGTTGTTGCCCAGATTTACACACACAAAAAAACACACGACATACACATATATATGTACACACATATACATCTACACATATATGTGTGTATAAACATATGTGTATATATACATATACATGTCACTACACTGTAGAAGTTAAAATATTGGTAACTTTTAGTTTTTGTGGGTGGTAGCTTCACAAATGTGAAAGAAAAGGAAAGAAAAAAAGACAAAGGATGGGCAGGGAAGGACATAACAGGACAAGAAAGAAAAGGGAAGGAAGAGGGACAAGCAGGGATCAATAATAAGGGTGTCTTGTAAACCAAGGACTATGATGAATTTGTGCATCTGAAATTCATATTTAAAAGGTTTTAATGCTTTCTTTTCTACCTGTCTGACATTCTCTCTCTATGAAAACTGATCAAATGTTGGAAGGTAAGTTTCAGGTGTGCAGAGAGGCCATGGGAGATGGCAAGAAGGAAGTTGGTGAAATAAATTTGGGGTACACGGGCTTTGAGGTCCCTCAGGGACTCTCGGGCGGTGATGTCCAATAGAGAGTTGGCAAAGTTGATATGAGACACGGAGAAGGGAATAGCCTGGAGATGTAGATCTGGGAGTCATCGGTGCTTTCTGTAAATGAATGAGATCACACAGGGAGAGACAACTTGAGGACTGAGGAGAGAGGAGGCCCAGGACAGAACCCCAGGAACACCGCCACTCAAGGTGGCAGCTCAGCTTCCTGGCAGGCATCACTACCCCGGGCTCTGGAGTCAGGCAGAGCCAGTATTGAAAGTGAGCTGTGGAGTTCTGGGGCTGAGCGCTCTTGGCAAAGTCGGGTACCCTCTTTGATCAGCTGTCACACCTGGCGATAATGGGCATCAGAGAGAGATGCCTTGCGAGGATGCTGTGAGCTGCCTCAGGTAAAGCACCTGGGGTCAGAAAGCCACCCCTCCTCCTCTTCTCCGCGACCCCACTTTGCTACACAAACGCACCGAGACTCCGACAGTCCCCAGCCTCCGGTCCCTCAGGGATGGAAGATGAGGTATGTCAGGCAAGAAGGGGCGCCGAGCTCCAAGGTGAGGTGTGTGGGGCAAGAGCTGGGCCGAGCTCCAGTGACGCGGCGCTCACGTGACCCGTCGGACGCCTACGTGGGCACCAGCCCCCACGCCAGCCCGCCAGCCAGCCCAGCGGTCGTGTCCCGGCGCCGGCGCAGAATAAGCTGTCTGAGCTGCCCAGACTGCTGGGGAGCAGTGAGCCGGCTTCCGCGAGCCGGAGGAAGCACAGGCGTGTCCTGGGTACCCGCAGGTCAGTGTGAAAGCGGGCGCTGCCGGCGGCCCCTGGGACAGGGGTGGAGGGGGCTGGCAGTAGGATTGGGGAGGGAGCGGAGAAGGAATCCTGTAGATTGGTGAGGAAGGGGATGCCTGCGGAGCGGACCGGGGTGGGGACAGGGGAGGGAGAACTCCCGAAGCGAGCCTGGCTCGCCTTCACGACGCCCCCTTGCACTGAGTCATCCATCCATTTTTAGTGCTAGAAATGAGGGGTGGGGGTAGCGACTCCGCAGTGCGACAGTGAAACGTAGACATATTCTAGAAATAATCCCTTCTCACAATCTACGCCCATAGAAACACTTGATCTCCGCAAAAATGGGGTGGCGCTGGGGCAGGTTGTCTCAGGGAAGGGGGACACAGAGACAAACGCAGTTTGGAAAGCATCCTGGTTTGGTGCCCGAGGCCTGGAAAGAAATGGCGGCTGGGGTGCGGGGGATGTAGGGGAGAAAAACGTTGGGTGAACAGGGCCTGGACTCAGGAAAGGGAACCGAGTCCCTGTGTGCCCGCTGAGCGCGCAGTCCCTGCCCTTGTCTCCTATCTGTCCGCAGGTCTGCGCGTCTGTTGTTCCCAGCGCTCTGAGAGGCCTGAAAAGGAGGAGCAACCTGTCCAGAATCCCCGCAGGTCCGTGAAAGCAGGGAGCTGCATGGACAGGGGCCCACAAGGGTTGAGAGTGTGAAGGACCCAGTTAGGGCCGAATCGGGGCCCCTGCCCTTCCGCCCACCCACATGAACACACACCTTACCAGGCTGAACCAGTGCAGAGAAGGTGGCAGGGCCTGTCAGGGAACAGCTGGCTCACGTGTGTGGGAGGAGTGGCAGGCTACGTGGTGGGCAGAAGGCCCTCTTGGAGGTCCGGTCAGCTTAGGGGAACCCTCACCAGAGGTGAGATGCAAGTAGTATCCAGACCTGCATTCCATGCCAGGCCCTCAGTCTCCCATGTCTCCTCTTTGTCTCCCCTTCCCTCAACCCGCATCCCCCAGGAAAGGAAAAGGAGGGGAAATCTCGACATGGAAAAATTCTTCAATGAAAATGAAGGAATGCTTTGGAACCAAGGAAAGATAGAAAATGAAGAACAGCCACCGGACGAGGGAAAGCCAGAAGTAGCTTGTACTCTGGAAGACAAGACGTTAGAAAACGAGAGAAAGACAGAAAACAAGGGCAAGACAGGAGATGAGGAACCGTTAAAGGATAAAGAAAAGCCAGAGAGTGCAGGAAAGGCAAAAGGAGAAGGAAAGTCAGAGAGGAAGGGAAAGTCAGAGATGGAGGGAGGATCAGAGACAGAGGGAAAGCCAGAGAGAGGGGGAAGGGCAGAGGGGGAACGAGAGCCAGACAGTGAAAGAGAGCCAGAGAGTGAGGGAGAGCCAGAAAGTGAAAGGAGGTCTGAAGGAAAGCGCCCGGCTGAGGATGATATACCCAGGAAAGCCAAAAGAAAAACAAACAAGGGGCTGGCTCAGTACCTCAAGCAATATAAGGAAGCCATACATGATATGAATTTCAGCAATGAGGACATGATAAGAGAATTTGACAACATGGCTAGGGTGGAGGATAAAAGGAGAAAAAGCAAACAGAAATTGGGGGCGTTTTTGTGGATGCAAAGAAATTTACAGGACCCCTTCTATCCTAGGGGTCCAAGGGAATTCAGGGGTGGCTGCAGGGCCCCACGAAGGGACACTGAAGACATTCCTTACGTGTAGTGTCCCTGGCAGACATTTATCAGGCCATATGTTTTAACCTTATGGTAATACTTTGCTTTAGTTGTTCCTCCTGCTACCAGTAGCCTTTTGACCCACCTGCCAGTGCTTGCTTGCTCTATGTTTCAGTAGCAGATTTTCATACCTGTGCATTTCAGAGACGTCATGATTCATGGAAAAATAAAGCAGCTTGTAATATCATCTGCAGAATCTGTCTGTTTTTGTTAAATACATGAAAGGTTAACAGTGGTTTTCTGAGTTGTGAGCTAGCAGGTGATTTCATTTCTTTGTTTTCTTTCTTTCTACTAATCTTTCTTTTCCCAGAGAACACAAATTACTTTTCTCACAAAAATAATAAAATATTTTTAAAAATCAGAACACAGTATGTAAAAAACAAAGAGAATAACTGTCCAGTGAACTTATGAAGTTCAGTAGAGACACTTAAAGTTCTTGTTGTCAGAACTTAAAACGATAGGTAAAATTCACATTACCTACCTGTGGCACTCATCTGGAGAAGTCAACCTGGGGTTATTACATATCCATTGCTCTAATGGACAATCTTGTTGTTTGTCAAATGGAGATAATACTTTGCTTTTCAGAACTGCTGAGTGGGTTGGATGAGGTAGAGAATATATGTGTTGGGTGGCATCTACCTTCTCCCCTGCTCTAGCAGAAAAAATACCCCCTCAGACACTTGGAAGAGAACTAGGGTAAATCTTACCTGTATCCAGGAATAAGTCTAGGAAACTGAAAGGTTGGTGCCATCCTCTCTTAGACAATGTCATGTCCACTGGGCACTGTGCTCCTTCTTATAAATCTTGCACCCTCCTAAAGCTCCCATTGATGCTGATGGGCTGAAGTTCTCAAGATAACAAGGTCCGGTTGATTTCCCTGGAGTCCCCAGTGAGCCAAGCCTACGACCCCATTCCACGACACCTATGAAAATGTGGATAAAGTCCCTTTCCTCACTTTAGAGTTATACTCGCCCAATAGGGTAACACCTCAGTGATACTTCAGTCCCTGGGGGATTTCAGATTTTTAGTAAAACAATTGTTTCTATGCTTGTTGGTTTGGGAGTGTTTGCATACAGCCATCTTTCCACCAGATTCAGGGATAGAAGGCTGGGGTAAAATTTGAGTGACACACACTCATCTGTTCTCATCTGTCAGTGACTTGTATGCTTGACTCATCTTTCCTTAGAGGAATTTCTCTTCTAGGAAAGTTCTTCCAGGTCTCACCTTACCAGTTTAACACCCCTACCCACATTTGTAATTTTTAGAGCAATACTACTCAAATAGTGGTTCATGGACTAGCTGCATCAGCATCAACTGAAAGATAGAAATGTAGAATCTCAGATCCTCACCCCAGACCTACTGAATGAGAATCTTTTCTGGTTTTAATAAGATCTGCAGGTGATTCCTGTACAACTTAAAGTTTGAGAAGCAAGGTTAATGAGGAAACTCTCAGTCTTCCCAATTCCACCTTCTCATGATACATGTGCCTAGAAGGATAAACACATGTGCTTCATAGGATGCACATCACATACTTTTAAATGGACCTGTGTTTGTCAAACTGAAGTTTCACCTTCCTACATTTGCAGAGTTTAAAACAAATTCAGCAGGTCAAGACCTGCAATATTTTTAAATGAAATAGGATATAATAGATTCAACCAGAACCAGATAGTAAACATCACATTATATGGCAGGTAGGCAGGATTAATATTATTTTCTGAAATTTGTATTTCAGTTATGTATATTTGAACAATATGTTTCTGACTGTAGGGTGAGGTTTTCTAAAATTGAGGAACATTGGACTCTGCTTGTCAAAGCACAACCTGTTCTTTATCCTGGTATCCCTAATGCCTAGCACAGTGCCTGACAAGTAATAGGTTCTTGATAAATTTGTAAATAATAATACCTGAGTCAAGAATTCTTGTTCAAGATCATTCCCTGTCTACATAAATAACTGTGGACTCTATATCTCTAGCAGCATTTACTTGCAATTCTAAAAGGAACACCATGGAGAAGGGTTTGTACCACGAATTTAACCTTATCTCATTTATTAATGCATTTTTAAAGTATCCTAGTTTGTCACATGTCAGAATCATCTTAAGACTTCACCAAAAATGTGAACTTATAATCCCCACGTCAGATCCACTAGGTGGAGCTCTATAATTTCCATCTTAAGCAGGCTGCCTGGGTGATTCTGATTCATAATAAAGGCTAATCACCACTGATTTATATATTCATTATGATCTCGATCATATTAACTGTAAACCATAAGTTAAGCAGAAAAAAAGATTTTACAGTGTCTCTTTTTTGGTGGGGAAGGTGAAGGCTTTTCTAAGTTCTAAAACAAAGGTTAAGAGTAAAAATCCATAAACTCAAGGTTTAATATATTTATTGCATAGAACCTGAAAGTATCTTTAGAGCAAACCACACCTATAAACAAAGGCAAAGTCAAAGCATATCATAGTATAGTGTATTTCCTCCTCCAGATGCCATGATAACTGTGGCAGCTGAACAGTTCCACTGCTAAAGAAGTCTCTTGGGACCCCAAATGGTGATGATTGCAAATCTACAGTTCGCTGGAGAAAAAAAAAATGGATGCAACATAGCAGCAGCATTAAGGGGAAACATCATAGTCAAAAGCTGTCTAATAGTAAGGGATCTGGAGTGGCCAGGTATGAGCTTTGATTATCTTCCCTCTTTATAATAGCCCTGACAGGATGCACTTCTCTTTTCAGATCATGAACCATTAATGTATGCATAAAATACTTCGAAACCAGAGAACGCAAAATAGAGTCTCAGTCCAGGTTTCTGGTGCATTACTGGTTGTGTAAGCATATTCTTGCTATGTAGCCAGTCTCAACGGCAGAGCCTTTGGCAATGTGGTTCACTGAGACTAGATTTAAATGATCAATCTCACTGTCATCAATAAAACTAACAGGCTGGTAAAACTCATCCCAAATTCCTCAGACCCATGATTATCAAACAGCACTCTTAATCAATATGTTTTATGCCTTTACCATGGGTCAATGCCACGCAGGCACATTTCTTATTTTGATAGAAAGCTCAGGCAAATCTCAGCCCTGCTGGAGTTCACCCTCACAAAATAATATGTTTTTTATCCTCCTCCTTACCATATGCATAAAGCTGCAGGCACAATTCCTAATAAGTGCTATTAACATGGCCCTCACTCATTTGTGGATATCTCCTCATCTTCCCATCCCAATTCACTCTCCATTCTTCTTTACCCTGCTCTGTCTCCCAAGGGACTCTGACCTATATGGACCACATCAAAGGGCTCCCTCATCCTCTGGGAGCCAGCAGTGGTGAGTGCAGTCAGGAAATTTGTTTCCCAACTTGTTCCCTGCAGTGTTGTCAGATGCTGGTGGAGTCCCTTCTCCCAAGATTCCTAGGCTCTGCACCTCCAACTTTTAATTACCCCTCTTTCCCTCTGTGCCTCAGGCCTACTTCTGGTAATCTCACCTTTAGTAGCCATGGTGTATTGCACTACTCACTTTTGTTCTCTAATACCCTTCCCATACCTTTGTCTATTCTCCTTTATTAAGAACTGCCCTCAAATTTTCCACTGCAAATATACCCCCTGTTTCCTGCAATGTACTTTTCAGGTACAGTAACAGATACAGAAAGTCACCCCAGGAATTGGGTTCCTTGTAAATTTGAGGGAAAAAAATAACCTACTGACAATAGGGTTGAGAACAGTAGGGAGAAGGCGATAGGAGAGGTTCACAGGTACGTGGTATGTAGTAGTATGATGATAACTCATACACCACTGGTGGCGTGAAATGAAGTGCAAGTGAAATCCAAATCTTTGAGAAATCAAATGGTTATGCTACTTAAGTACTAAAACAAAAATAATTACCAAAATGTTTCTGGAGTCATCTGTGTTCATCTGACAACCCTAGAGAGTATGCATGGAAAAAAGAGGACATTGGAAGTTACAAAAATACAACAGAGAACATATATACAGCACCAGAAAGCCTCTAAGGCAGGGTTGAAGGAATCCCTCATCTTAGGGTAGATATAGCTGTGAACCAAGGCTAGGTCTTCGTGGTGTTGCAGTTCTGCTGCCAATTAAATGCTCCAAATGCAGTCGCTTTTACAATAAAGTAAGGACACTAGTAGAGAAGGAATAGAACTGTGATATATGGGATAGCGGCATTTGTGAAGACATACTCCGAGGCATTAAGAAATGCATTTGTGAGAGGGTCAAGAGCATCTTTGAAGATTTCTGTGGGCCTGTGCTTTGTAGGCTGGAGACGATGGTGGAGAATGCTGCAAGAGAACTGTCCTACCTCATCTTAATGTGAATTATGGAATCCCAGAGCAGTGGAAGTCAGGTGACAGGGCTTAATTATCTAAGACAAGGTGAGTGGACCTACCACAATAACCACAGGATTTGAATGGTAATTAGTGAATTTTTGGTCCACAGGGATTTGTGGTGATAGCTAATCAGAGCATTCTTTAAAATGAAATAATTGGGCCACCTATTGGATACTGCTTGACATATTCAGGCAGAAAAAATCTCTAGATCTGCAAGAAAGTCTAACTCAAGATGCTGTAGTATGTTTTCTAAACTTCTTACTCAACTGAGGGGAAGAAAGGGTACCTCTAAGGAATGATCTTGCAGCCACTGGTGTATACTGTGAATCTTACATCAAACCTTTCCCAGTGGGACCTACAGACACTTTTCAGAGTGACTGTGCACTAAGGAAAATAAAATACCAAAATCTTCTGGGAGTTATTAGCTAAAGGCTCAGAACTGAGGCTAATTTCTGGAGACCTCAAACTGTATCATAACAAATAATCAGATTGGGGAGCTTGTGAGATGCTGTGTAGAGGAAATAAGCGAATAACTGCTCTATATTTGGAAAGTAACTCCTGGGTGCTGGCTGGTACGCAACATCTGACTATGTTATTCCAAGTAACTATGCACCTAGAAATATTATCATGAACTAGCCACTGTTTAGTTCATCAAACTACATAACTAGATATGCACAGCAGAATTCTATTTTAAGATGAGAATTATACGTAACTGACTGAATTTAAACATGACTAAAAGGCACAAGAAAACTACATAAGCAAGAAGTTCAGACTCGCAAGGTACTGTCTCCTACTGCTTGGCCACCTCCCTATCAACCTACATTTGTGGCCTAATGGAACATTCCCTGTAAC